ATTCATTTTACTGGAAATATATCTTGATTTTGGTTGTTCTGTAGTATTCTCAGCTACACAGTGTGTTTTTTCAACATGTAGTTTCATATTTTTTTTAATTTAAGGAAAAAATTTTTATATATTTTGGTATCTTTTTGTCCCTTCGTTTTTCTTCTTCAGGGATTCCAGTTTTTTTGTGGCTGAATCTCTTTGTCTTCAATATATGTCACTTTCTCTCAAATTTTTGTCTTTATCTTTTATTGAAAAATTTCCTCCATTTTATTTTCTATTTCTCTTATGGGGTAATCTGTCTTATTTTGTTTACTTTTCTGTTCCTTCCAGCATATTTTTATATTTCATATTTTCTGAAATGATTTTTCTTTTATCTCTGATTATTTCCAAAGTTCTATAATCTTATTTCTGAGTTTTTAAAATTTAGATTATTATTTTCATATCGTGTATCATTTTCCTAATGTATTTTAGGTTCTTTTGAAGTAAAGGGTTATGGTTTTGATTTGTTTTTGTGAGCACGTCTTTCTAGTGTAGGGATGTTTTAGTGCCTTGTTTTTTCTCTTAGAAATGACTTTGTAAGAGAGTTGGTCTCAATGTTTTTCTGTTTCTCATTTTTATGTGAAAATTCTTTTCCTGAATTTTTATTTAGTTTTGAAACTTTTAAGTTCCAAAACATGTGTTTTGGGATAGCTCTTCTTGAGAAACTAATGTGACTCCATTTTTGAAAAAAGCTTCTACCGCAAAGCCTGTCCAAGGATCGGGCATGACCCTTGTCCTTGGAAAAACCCACAGAGCACTCCTAAGCACATACCCACCCTGCTGAGTTGTTTGTCTGCAAATAACAGGAGAGATCTTAGGCACTAGGTGTCCCTGACTCAGTTAGGCTAGGTGAGGACCCATAGCAACCACCTAGCAACCTCCAATCAGCATGAGACAGGGAAAATACCTGGAATGCCAGATGACCCCTAAGTAGTTTATGGTGGTTGATAATGTGTTGGGAAACCATGTAGTTTAGCACGTACACCCCTCGTGGCCTAAACCAATCAGTTCAAACGAATCCCCCTATTGTACTAACCAATCACCCTTACCCAACTTATTCTCGGCAGTGAATGTGCTAATCAATGTTAAGAGTTGTTGTTTGATTTTCCCTTGGTATGGAATGATTTGCTGAGTGATGTTGTGACGCATAGAGTATCCCCCCAAAACCTATAAAATCTCACTGAACAAAGGACCGGGACTCACTCCCTGGGACCGCTGCGTCAGGAACGGTTGTGAGTCCAGGCTCGAGCTTGCAATGAAGACTCTTGTGTGCTTGCATCGGATTCGGCTCCTGGAGGTATATTGGGGTCCCACGAATCTGGCATAACATTCTAACTTCACAAACTCCCTCTTCTGTTGTTTTTATGTGTGTTCAGAAAGGTCAGGTTGCTTTATGAGACTTTAAGGGTTCTATTCTCTCCCCCTACCCTCTCTCTACACACACCCCTGCCAATCCCCCTTACCCCAGTGCTGGGGATTGAAATTGAACTCAGGACTCTGCATATGCTAGGAACTTTTGGTCTTCACAACAGGCCCCTTGTACTCAAGACCTATGACTTGGGCAGAACCTACCCACATGCTTTGCAGTGAATATCCATTGCTATTTGGGGCTTCTCCCTTGCCCAAGTCTGTTAAGCTTGCTTGCTTCTCTTTGCTTTCTCCTGCTTAGATACAGGATATGGGTACAATTCAGGGCTAGTTGTTTGTTTTTGCTTTTGTTTTATTTTTCATACTCCCATATATTTTGAAGTTTGTGTAGATGCCTTGTTCCTAGTGTCATTGCAAATGTTGTCCATGGGCTTTGGTTTTGCTATGTATTTACTTAGTGTTTTTATGGCAAGATTTGTATTTAAAAATATTAAAGATGATGCTGCCACCATCATCTTCCTAGAACCCACTAAATAAATCTGAAATGTTCTTGAAGTAGAATCTCCATTGTTATAAGAATTGGAAATGGCAAGTTGCTATTAACTTCTTAGGTGTTGATAGTTTTATATAACTCCATCCAGCCTCAGGGAACACATTCTCAATGTTACAAAATCCTCTAAAAACTGTATGACAGTGTATTATTTTCAGCTTAGTTCTGGTATGATTAAAGAGATAATATTTGTGTGTCCTATAACCAGTTTAAAGATATTAGGTGTTCCAGGCACTAATAGAAATCAGCTTTTTATTAAAAAAAAAAAAGAAAACTTGGTATAAAGCTGTTTATAATGTAAATATTACAAAAGTAATATTATTGTTCATGTAAGAGGAGGTCTATTTACACAGTGTTTTCACATACATTAGCTCACTTAATCCTCAAAATAACCCTCTTGGGAATATTGTTGTTATGAGTCTCATTATTCAGAATAAGAAGTTGAGCCTAGAGGACATAAGTGACTAAGATTTACTGTCTCTACAGAGACAGTCTTATTGTCTTTATCTGTAAGGATTTACCACAGGATGCCTAGCTTTGGTGACATCCCTGTGAGGTGTGGAGGAAGTATAAACCTGCCTACGTAGCTCCACACTCCCTGAAGTCCCATGGAGTGACAGACTCTGTGGGAGGATCACTCTCAGGGTGTAGTGAAGTGCCTTGTTTAGTACCTTAAAGACTAAGGGACAGAACTATCATCTGAACCTAGGTTTCCTGACGCTGGCTCCTGTGGTCTGATTTGTCTTGCGATAACATCTAGTTAAGCGTGGAGCTGACAAATTTCCATGGGGCCTGCGGCTCTGTGTGGCCCCATGATGCCTGCATGTTTTGGGGACACAAGAACTCCCATGCACAGCGGCTGTAGGAGGAGGATGTCAGAACATTTCTGGTGATGGTGGCAGTGCTTCTCACATGTCTGCTCCTTAACGCTCTGTGAAGCAGAGAGAAGCCTGTCTTCTATCTCCAGGGAATCTTTTACCACATTTTAATACTTTACCTTCAGATTCACACAAATTTTAAATTCTATTTTGTGTTTCTGTGCTATTTGAATACAAAAAGAATATTTTGCACTATTTATCAGCAGGTAAAATTGTTGTCACAGGGAGAGAAAACGTTTATCCAGGGCTCTTCATACCTTTTGATGTATCATCATTTAGCCCTAAAAGATTCTTCATTTGAAGGCATGAGAGGAAGTGGAGAGGGGTAGGCTGCAGCCACATGAGCAAAATTTGACGACTCTGATAAACATTTGGAATTTAGAAACAGAGGAGCCCATGAAATGGTTCAAGAGCAAAGGAAATGGATCACTTGTGTATTTTAGAGTAATAGTTTCTGAACTTCTTTGTGAAATATATTTCACATGACAATTCAGATACAGATTATATACATATACAAATATATATGTGTACGCACGTGAATGTATATATGAAGTAAATAAAATGAAATTTCACTTACCCTTGTATTTTTCATTCTATTGCATCTAGAAAAGATAATGCAACCCATTAAATTGAACAACTCTTAAAGGGATGCGCCTCATATTTTTTTTATTACTTTGGAGTCAGTCTGAAGAAAAGATGGTGGAAGGGAGACATTAAGACCACTCAAAGTATAGACATACAAGAATATTTAGAATATACAGAAAGACAGTGGCAGTAGTGTAGAGCTAAAATCCACAGGAACTTGTTACCAATTGTCCATGAAGATGACTGCTTTTCTTGCATGAATGAATGCTTATTATATTTACTGATAGAAGGAATGCAGAAAATACACATTTGAAAAGGAATTCCAGTTGGAAGTGACTTTGTAGCAGGCCAGAGGAATGGATAGTCCTGAGGGGAGCAGAGAGGCTAGGTAGCTGGATAGAAGAATAGTTGGAGGTCAGAAAAATGTGAACAGGAGAAAGTTAGGACTTAAGCATATGGGTCCTAACTGAAGCCAAAGGAATGAAGATAAGGTTGCCAGCATGAGTGTAAAGAGTCAAAACAAGAAGAGTACCAAGGAGAGATCCCTAAAGAATATGTTCATTTAAGAGGAGGCAGAAAAAGAAGAGCCTACAACAGAAACTGAGAAGCAAACCAGGAGAGTAGAGTCATGTAAGCCAATGGAGAACTTTCCAAGGAGGGAGTAGTCAGCACTGTCCAATGCTAGAGAACGTTCTAGTAAGATAAGACTTAGCAATTAGAAGGATATCATGTCCTGGGAGTTATCAACAAAAAGAAGTGGTAGTTGAGACAAGCAGTTGTGGGGAGAAGGTCATGGAAAGTCACAGTTGTGTCTGGGAGGTGGTAAGAGATGAGTAACCTTACACCTGACAGAGCACTCAGGAGCAGGGAAGGTTTGGGTGTCCCAGGGAGGTAGGTGGCACCCAGGAAATCTGTCAGCATTGTGCAATTGCAAAATTTACTCAGATTCAGAACAGGTCTGCCATTTCTGTAGAGGAGGTTGGTGAGAGTGAGCTGGGAGCTCCATCCTAAGTTAGTGGCAGTTCTAGCCAGATCTCCAAAGCTGCGCTCTCATGGCACAGGGATTAAAGCAGGTACCAACTCTGATATGCAAAGAGCAAAACAGACTCCGGACATAAGGCAGAGCGCCACTTATGTGAACAGGTAAGATGCTGCAGTTCCTACTGCTGAGACAGGAATGCTTCAGAGAGTTTGGATGAGTGCAATAGTCTACAGGCCATTAGCCACCACCAAATTACAACTCTCCTTCCTTTTTCTAAAGTGCCTCTACCCACTCCCTCCATGGCTTCTCACAGGCTCACTGAGCTAGTTTTGATGTCTTACTCTTCTTTCACTTTCAATGCATTGAAAAAAATCTTTATACGTTTACATTTTTGTTTGCTTGTTAGTCATTTTAGCCTTTTTGAAAATTAAACTCTTGCAGTATTTATATTTCAAAATTAAAGAAAATGTGATACTTGCCCTAATCATTGATTGCCTTTTCTCTCTCTCTCTCTCTCTCTCTCTATATATATATATATATATATATATATGTGTGTGTGTGTGTGTGTGTGTGTGTATATATATATATATATATATGGCTATCTGAATTAAATCTTTGAACTTCTGGATAAATATGTCACTTGATTTTAGGCTAAAAATTATTTATTGAGTGCCTACTTTGGGCAAGGAGTTTACAGCCATTAACTTCCCTATGCAAAGAATGTGAAATGTGTCTGTTGTTTAATAGTGTCATAAATTTATTGTAAATTCAGTTCATTGGCATAAATAATCCCCAAGATGTGTAGGAAGTTTAGTCATTTGACTTAATCCTGTAAACTCTTAAGCTTAATGGGCTGAGTTCTGAGTAGAATTAGGAAAAATGAAATAGCAGTTTTTATACCCCAGGCTATTTTTAAATACCTAAATACTATATTTGTTGGAGAGAATTTATACACTGCATTAATAATTCAAATGGAGCAGAGTTATACCCATTAAAAAGCTTTTTAATCTTCTTTCTGGAGAATAAAAGATGATATTGGGCAACCAGAGGAAGGGGAGTTTCTCAGATTCTATTACCCTTTCTCCCCTAGGAGCCTGCCTACTCCTTTCTCTGTACTCTAGCCTCTCTGCTCCCCTCAGGACTATCCATTCCTCTGGCCTGCCCTCCTTCCATAGGACAATTTATTTCAAATAGGACCCTCTTCTCCAATTATCCTGCTTGAGAAGACTCAAAAAGTGAGAGAGGGAAATCTTTTATCTTGGCTGAACTTTCTCTCAGAGAGTAACTGAAGGCAATGTGTAGCAAATTAATAAAAGTGTGCATTATTCTGCTCAGGCTGCCAATATAAAGGGCCACAAAACTGGTGGCTTTAACAACAGACACCAATTCTCACAATTCCAGAAGCTAGGAGTCTAAGATCAAAGTGTCAGCAGGTTTGGTTTCTTCTTAGATGTCTCTCTTTGGCTTATAGATGGCTCTTTTCTCTCTCCACCTTCACATGGTGTTTTCCAAGCACTCTGTTTCTGTATTAGTCAACTTTTTGTTGCTATGATCAAAATACTTGACACAAACAACTTAAAGGAGAAAAAGGTTTTTTGGTTCATGTTTTCAGAGGTTACAGCCCATGGCTGGCTCGCTCCATCTCTTTGGGCCTGAGGTGAGGCAGAACATGATGATAAAAGAGTGTGGCAGAGGGAATGTTGCTCAGCTCATTGCTCTGAAAAGGAGAGAGAAAGTCAGGAGAGAGAAAGGAGAGAGAAGATATAGTCACCAAGGGCACACCATCAGTGATCTACTTTCTCTGACCATGCCCCACCTGCCTATAGTCCATTCTATTATTAATCCATCAAATGGATTAATCCACTGATGAGGTTAGGGCCATCATGATTCAATCATTTCCTGAAAGGCCCAGCTCTGAGCATTGCTGCACTGGGACCAAGAAGACTTTATGGGATATTCCAGAAACAAACCATAACAGTGTCCTATTTTAATTAACATCACAGATATTTTCATAACATCATGAATTCAGTTACTTAATTGTACTGAGAGCAGAAAGATTCTGTATTTCAGTGGCCCCTGGAAGAGTCTCAGAGGCTACCAACATTTTTTTTTTAATAAGAGCATCTTAGTTTTTATTTTACTGTGTAGTTACTGTTGTCTGTTTGAAACACCCTTGACTGGGTGTACTCAATGCCCAGAAAACGTTTACATAAATAGTTTTAAAAGGGTAAAGAAAGTTGGTAAAAGAGGAAAGACAAGAAATCTTTAAGATTCACTTAGCTGACAGAAAAGAGAAAATCTAAATATTCCTTTCCCTCTTTTGAGTAAGAAGCAAGCTCCACACATTTGAATTAGCTCAAAGAGAAAGACTGCTTGAGACTGACAGAAACTGAATAGGAGCCACCTTAGTGAAACTCTGGTCTAATAAGGCTATTTCCCAGCCAGGAAGTTCTCAGAGTTACACAGAGGACTAGGGGTCCCCAGCCCTCTTCCCAGCTGTCTGCGGCTTTCAACAGTAGTGCCAGAGTAGGGCTCTTTGTATTCTGAGTCCAGCTGTGCCTGCCCAGGAGGGTCTCACTTCTCTATGGGGTCAGTAACTCTATCCAGTTCTGCTTCCAAGCTTCCCCCACATCCCTTTTATCCCAGGAGGCTGCTGTGGATGAGGACCGGTACCCTTACCTTTATTTCATCCATGGTTGCTTTACCATTGATTGATTGATGGATCTATCAAGCCGTTCTAGACTTCCCAAGGCACTCCTTGGCCAAGTCCATTTATGCTTTCTGAGTCTAAATTTATCTGAAAAATGTGGAAATTCATCAAGATGATCTCTGTGATTCCTTTTCACCATAATAACTAATGTTATTAGTCTATGCTTCCATTTCAGACTTAAATGCAGATTTTTTTTAAAATCCCCTCCATAATTACAGAAGAAAAAATATAAATGCCTTTGACTAACAGAAAAATTACCTTTCTTCCTAAGGCTTTAAGGTTTTATTTCCTTCCTTAGAATTCTTTAAAAATTTTTTTTAATTTGTGCATTATAATTATACATAATAGTGGGGTTTTTTAAAGGCTCATTTTAGATGGAAAATTTAAGCTTACCTCAATGTTAAGTCCTCAACTCATTCCCCTGCTCTGCCTTGAGCCACTTTTGTTTATAAAGGCAACTTACAACTACACAGAAGCAGAAACTATCTCTGTCAATGACAATAGTAGGTTCACTACCAAGTATCAGGCTAAAAACCACATAGGTAGGTTTGAAAAACACAAGTGAAAAAATTCAAAACGGCTACCTGTAAACAGCACTGTCAGCAGAGCTTTGCTTTCCCTTTTTAAACTAGAATTGGTACTTGTTTTCTGATGCTCTTTGTTCAGTCCTGGGGACTATTTCCCTCAGACATTCACAGGTGAAATGGCTTTGCTGCTTTAGCCTGTCGCCCACTCCTTGCCCACAGGTGCCCGCCCTCCTCCTCCTCCCGCTGACTCAGCTGCCCAGCCTACGCCCACTCAGGCTCAGGGACCCACAAGGCTTGCCTCCTCCAGCTGCTTCTCCCACAAACCCACCCACTCCTCTTTCCTCCTTCACACAGGTGGAGGTATTCACACTCCCACTGCTCAACAAACAAAGCACAATACTGTTCTAGGGAGATTTTTTTTTTTCTAATAGCCCTTATGGGTTTTTAGAAATATATCAACAAGCTTTAAAGCACAATAAGCAGTTGATAAAGTTATTTTATTCTTAGATTCTTTTCCCCAAATTTCCTCATACATAAGAATTGGATTTTCTATTTTTAAAAACTCTACCAAAATGTATATACACTTGGCGTGTTGTAACTTTTTTCATTGAGAACAGATGCCCTATCTTTTTGTCCAAATTAAAATATTTTACTCACATTTTGAAGTGAATGGCTGCACCGATGAGACAATGGCTCATAGGGATGGTTATTTGTGATGATGGTGTCTGAGCTATAGCTGGCATCAACAGTCTGCCTGACAAGATTAATTGGCTGTGAATTATGCCGGAGCAATTCCAGAGCCAACATCAGAAACAAGGACCAGCCCACTCATCAGAACCCTGCCAAAGCCTTCCAGCTCTGTGGAGCTGCCCCAGGGGAGGCCCAGGCCAGCCTCTGTTGCTTTTATGCATTTTTAAGGCTACCAGAATGGCCCTTTCCAAGTCATCCTGGTGTTGCTATGCCTGACATTCCAGAAAGAGAGATTCAGTCCTGAAACCTCTCAGTATTTAAAATGTGAAGGATTAGAAAGATGTTGCTGGAGTTTCTTTCCATTCATGGCAACTATTTTTATCTTTTTTGGGGAGCTCAGATTTTATGCCACATGGTGTGAACAGAATCAGTTCTGATATATTACAAATCTACTCTTAAAAGGAAATATGAGCAAATAATGGATTCTGAGAATTTCCCAACTGGTTTGTGTTTACATATATAGTTTTGTTTTGTTTTGTTTCTCAATCATAACATGAAGTCTTCAAGGAAAGGCTGAGGCTATTTGGCCTCCCATATCCCTGGTAATTTCTCATTAGCCCTAAACTGTAGAGCCAAATTTATTCCACCAGTCTTTTTAATTTTAACGTAACTATTCTTTCCCTTAAATTTCCACAAAACTTTATGGAAAGGACAAGTGGGAGCTAAAAACTTTATATGCTCACATGTATTTTATTACTTTCTCTCCTGTAATATATTTAATTAAAACTCTTATTGGCTCATCAGGACTTTTGAGACAGATCTCTCTATGATTTAACGTTATATGCTCATGAAAAGCAAAGTTTCTCACTTTAAAAATTCCTTATATAAAAAGATGCAAGGGAGGTAGAAAAGCAAAAAATGAATACCTCCGGCCCATTACATAGTTGCAGTGGTGATATGACTGCCACCAAGTCTCAAGTTGTTAACTTACAGCTAAAGATCACACAGTGAGCACCGTATACCTTTCTTCTTAATGGAGATCAGAAGAGGGGTTATGAGTAGGTAAGATGGTTCAATAAATATGCTGTTTTGGATTTGGTTTGCCTGTGTCCCTCTAAGGGCTCATATTTTGGAAACTTGGTTTTGAGCATAGCAACCTTAGGAGGTGGTAGAACCTTTAGGAGGTGGAATTTAATGGGAAGCAATTGTGTCATTGGGGATACTGCCCTCAGAAGGAATTAATGTACTGGTCATGAGACCCTAGTTAGTTCCCATGGAAGGGGTTGTTATAAAAGAGTGGGCCTGACCCTTCCCTGCTCTCTGGTTTCCAGTATCACCATGTGGTCTCTCCCTCTGACACTTATTTCTGCTATCCTGCCATCTGCCATCATGTGATGTAGTTTTAGAGCAAGTACCAAGCCTTGAATTTCCAGAACTGTGAGCTAAATAAACCTCTGTTTAATACATTACTAAGCCTCAGCTATTTTGTCATAGCAACAGAAAATGGACTAATTCAAACTGTTTGTTGGGAAGAGAACGGAGGATGGTTATCATTACTAATTGGAGAGAAAGCCACAGCCTAGAATGTGTAGTAGGCATAAGCAATGTATTTTATAGTGAAGAACCTGAAAACATAGCTCAAGATTTGGAGTTACCAGTTTTGGCAGAGAGAGGGGGTGAAGTAAGGGTATAAAGTTTGAGATAAGTTGAAAGCTTGATATGGAACAGCCTACTACTCATGTTCCCCAGGCAGAGAAAATCAGCAACCAGGTTACTCCCACCTGCCCCAGGAAGCTTGTGCAGCAGAGAAACCAGGTCTTTTAGAAGAAGGGCTTAGCTACGGGGATGAAAACAATGAAACAGACTGTAAGTGTGCATCAGGAATGGTTGGATTTTCTGTGCTGTCTCCCTACCACACAGTCAAAGCTCTGTTTGTCAGGCAATTAACCCCTGGGCCAGCATTTTACAAACTGAGTTATGAAATAAGTTATGATTAAAGGATTATAAAATCAGTTTAATGGGTCACAATCAACATTTTCATGCTTTAGTTCCCAAAGAAGCAAATTTTGAGATAGAGAGTTCAGAATGTCTATTAGGGGATGCCATTGGGATCCATGTCTGGGAAGCTGTAGAACTGGACAAAGGGAAAAGCATAGCTGTGATGCCAAGTCCATGACTGCTTCAGCCAACCTTGGAGCACTGGTGGCTCTCTGGAGTTGTCCCAGTTGAGGCTAATATGGCTAGGCTTTTTCCCTTGTTATGAAATGAATTGTATCCCCAAAACTCTTATGTTGAAGTCCCAACACCCAGTACCTAAGAATGTAACCTTATTTGGAGACAAATTCTTTTAAAAGGCAATATGGTTAAAATGAAGCTTTTGGGCAGGGGAGCCCTAATTCCAGAAGACTGGTTACCTTCTAAGAAGAGAAAGCAACAAACACTGGCACAAAGAACACATGCAACCAAAACAAAAACAAAAACACAAAACGGCCCTGTGAGAACATAGTGAGAGCCAAGGAGAGAGGCTAAACCTCTGAGAGCCACCTTAGCTGTGAAAAAAGTAAATTTTTATTGTTTAAGTCACCTAGTCTGTGTTATTTTGTTTTGGCAGCCCTAGAAAACTAATCCATCCTTCTTGATGGATATGGCCATAGAAAGTGTGACCCTAGGCAAGGCAGGTCTGCATTGAGGCAATCCTCACCGGGGATGACAGCTTAACAGACCCCCAGCAGCACTCTCAGACTGAGGTGCTTAGTCCTTTCACTGCAGAGGGGCCTATTGGTGCATCATAAGGTCCACCACAAGCATGAAAGAAAATAAAACTCAATTGACATACAGAAAATGTCAGCATATATAACAGAAAAAGGAAATATTGTTCCATGAAACCTTTTTCATATATATAAATGTATGTGGATGTGTATTGATTGGGACTTGATAGAAAATAATCTTACTGACAAAAATATTCAAGAGTCACTTCCCTAGGCAAGAAACTAGAGAATGTTTTTCTTCTGAAAGGCTAAACAGACCCAGAAAAGAGACAAAATGTTTTCTTCCCTAACATGCAAAGGGAAGCCCAATACTCTACAAACCCCACCCACCCACACAGAGCTCCTCTTCAGCTGTTTAGCACCATCATTAACATGAATAGACAAAAAGGACCACCAGATGTGTAAGGCACACCTCTAACCTAAAAGAGAGGATTCATTGAACACAAGGGGGAAACTATAGAGAACAGAAAAACACTGTTTAAATGCTCTTTTATCTTCAAAATTATGAGATTTGTATTTATAAAATGAAATCAGAATCCATGATAAAAAACCAATTAAGAAAAAAGAGAGGACAAGTGGGAGCTAAAAATATAATTTTTAAAACTTCAGTAGAAATAGTAGAAGATAAAGTTAAGGAAATTGGCTAAAAATAGAGACAAAAGATGAGTAGATGAGCAATAAGAATATATGAAACTTAAAGAATCAATCTGGTAGGTATAAAGTCTGACTAGAAGGAGCTTCAAAAACAGAAGAAATGGAGGGGAAAATATAAAGGAAATTTCTCAGAACTGGAGGCCATATCTCAAAATTGAAAATGCCTACCAAGAACTCAGCACAACAAATAAAAATGGGCCCACACTAAGACACATCTCTGAGAAGTGTACTGGGAATAATGACAGAAAGCTTGCAAAAGCTTCCATAAAAAGAAAAGAAGAATGAGTCTTATGCTAAAAATAAAAATCAGAATACATCAGACTTCCCAACTTCAATATTGAACTAGAGAAAGCAATGAGCAATGCCTTAAGAATTATAAGGAATGCATATTTTTTTTTTAACCCTAGGATGCAATACCCAGCCAAACTATCAATGAAGTGTTGGGGGTTAGAAGGGAGGTTAACTTGAGCCCCACAGCTCTTGGGGTAGGTTTCCCCCTGGGTCAGCATCCTCTGGCCAAAAGCATCCAAACTTTTTTTACCCAGAAATGTACAATTACTATGATTTTCTTGAGTGTCATGCCATAGAAAGGGTTGGAGAGCACTGTCTTACATGGGTACCATAAAAACATATTCATAAGAATTCATAGTCATTTAGGTACTCTTTTTCAGTTGTTTACTTACTGAATTAATAATAGAAGTATAGTCAGTCCTTGGTGTTCACAGATTCAATCAACTCTGGATCAAAATATTCAGAAAAAAAAATTCTGAGCATGTACATGCTCTTTTTCCCTTGTCATTTTCCCTAAATAATAAAGTGTAACAAGTATTTGCATAGCTGAGTGTCAGGTTTTATAAGTGATTTGAGATGATTTAAAGTGTATGGGAAAATATGAGTAGGTTATGCAAATACTATGTAATTTATATAAACAACTTGAGCATCCATGTTGTTGGTATCCGGGAGGTGGGGATGGGTGAAGGGATAAGGTTGGAAAGAGGACTGCTGTTAAATTTGCATGTCTTTAAATAACTTTTTATGTTATCAAATCTGAATGGAAATCACATAATGTTAAGTTTATGAAAGAGTTTGGATTAAGTTCATCTATAAGTAATTAATAGAGACCCAAGAATGTAGTTTAAGTAATTAAATCAATACTCTTCCCTGCAAACAGACCTCTAGCTTCGTTGTCATCAGAATGCCTGGCTACCTTTAGCTTTTGCCCTTGCACTGCTAAGGAGTGAGGCTCCTCCTCAGGGAGCATAAGCCAGCACATCCACACCCCAGGGGCCTTTCAGAGAGACTTTTAATTCCATTGGGTCTTAGTGTGTGGAATTAGTCACATGGCTACACAAAGCTACAAACATGGTTGCAAATTGTGGACTTCAGCTCAATGGCCATCTTAAAATAGAAGTTCTATTAATTTGAGAGAGAAGGGGAGAATGGATATTTGGTAGGCTACCAGCAGTTTTCACAACATGTTTTAGTAACTGCCATGTAATTCCCTTCAAACAAAACCAATCTGTCAATTAGATGTTTTATATATACTGCTAGGCTAACATACGCACTAAAGAGTACCACTTTGCAAATCCTTTATTTGGAGTCTTAATTGCATATTTTTGTAGGATTTAATAAATTATATTCAACACAGGTAGGGAGTAAAAACTCAGATTCTGAAGTTGCCTGCCTGGCTTCCATTTTATTAACTTAGGAAAATTACTTAAATACTCTGAAATTTAGTTTTCATTTTTATAAGATGGTGATAATAATAATCATACCCATCTAATAAGATTTGAGAGAACTAAGTACATTAATATATTTAAACTATTTAGAATAGTGTCTGGTAAATCATAAATGTTCAACAAACGTTAGCTATTAGTATTTTTGAGTATTTTTGCAGGGGAGATATTTATGGAGATTCAATCCA